CACAAACGTCATGGTTCTACTTGTTTTGATAAGACTCACTGAAGACCTATCCTCTTGGCTTCTGATTCTTCCTTTCTCACCCCCCTGAAATCTATTTTCATAAAATTAAGGATATTACCTTGATCCAGTCGTCTTCTTTTTGCTGATCTTCTAGTTTGTTTAGGCTGATCCTGCCTTCTTCAAGTCTCCTGTTCATTAGATTTCTCTTGGTCAGTATTTCAAAGGCCTCTCGGATCTTGCGTTTTCTCGTATTTTCACCAAATGCAGCCAAACTTTCGGTCGATTTCCAGTCCATTTCGTGCCCTGTCCATGCAATGTGTTCCGCTATTTCTGATTTTTGTGTTTCCATGTTCCTGCAGAGTCTTTGATGTCCTTTGATTCGTAGGACCATTTTTCTTCCTGCTTCACCGATATACTTCTGCTCATAGTTGCCGCATTTGATGCGATAAACTCCCGAACACTCATGTGTTGCGTTGTCAGACCGATGGAAAGTTTTTTCTTCTCCCTTTTTATCACCTTGATACTCCATTTTTGTAATAAAGTTCGCAATTATTTGCTCAGTTGTGATGAGGGCATGCAAATCCATTTTTGGTTGTTATCCTCATTCCTGATCTGATTTTCATAAAATCCAGGTTGAAATCGGCTTCACTTGTCTCTTTGAAGAGTTGTTGTATGGTGTTAAGAATGGCGAAATTCACTGACGATGCCGGCGAAACATTTGGGAATATACCACGTCCACGATTCAACTTTGGAAATGATCATGCAGACAATAGACTCCGGACAAGGTGCGTTCCTCTAAGTCTTCCTACCAATATGACCATGTTGCGAAAACAAGGTCAAGCAACTTCCTATTCAAGGCTTATTAACAATCTCGAATTTTGTCAAATGATAACGTTTCTTATTATTTGCTTGCTATTAGGCCTGTATTTAAACGTAATCATCATTATGGATCTATGCCTTATTCCTATTTCAAATCGCTTGTGTTTTCGCATCTTTTTTAATCTATCTACATATGTTTTTATCCTTTTATCTTCATCTAATTATAGTCGTTCATTTTCCGCGTTTCTGTCTATTCCAATTTTAATGTCAAACAATTTCTAAAAAATTTAATTCGCTACTATTTATCAACGAATCTATCTGACAGACCCTACTTGTATAGTTATCAATTTTTATTCATCATTTAAATGACCTATTTATTCCCTCCATATATACTGAATCTCCTTGAGCTCTATTTGTCATTCGATCGGTTCACTTTCTGTAAACCCGCTCCTCACTATGCTAAACAGATATTTTTTTGACAGTCTTCTCATATGTTTTCCTTATTTTTTCTATTCCTGCTACCGAATTAATGTAGAAATCCAATTGTGTCCCAAAGAGATGCTTAATTTATCACCAGTCAGTTATTCCTATTTTTTTCCATCTAAGATCAATGTGACTTTTGCAACATAGGTTATATATTATCCTATTTTTCGTTTAATATTAATATTTTCGTATCACTTCTCCAAAAATGGCTAGCTTTAAAACCAAGTAGTTCGTCTTAGGTAAACTTAGAAGCTACTTTTCTCTTAATCACTCACCAAGCATATTGTTTTTTTAAGTGGTCTCACCTCGCTTTCGCAACTTGGTTAAGTTGCCAGGGCGATCTAGTTGGAAGCACCTTGCCGGAAATCCTCTGCTATAATAGTTATCATAATTCCCAATGTTGTACCGTGGACCTGATACATTCCCAGACGTTTTGCCGGTGTCGTCTGTGAGTCTTCTCATTTTTATCATCAAGCTAAAACTCGTCAGAGCCTAATGAAGTCAATCCCTAGACCAATTTTCTGCCGAACGGTTGTCTCATCACTTTCCCTTTCTATTCTGGGTTTGGACTCGGAATTTCCAATCGACTCATCAGTATGGCTTACACAAAACATACATGCAGTCCAGCCTGGATGTGGATAAATTTTGAGAAGCGAAGCTATGCGAAATTCACTGGAAATGAGACCTACCCATATATTTGTAGGAAAACGAAATATGGTGATATACGTTTTATATTAGATCTACTATTAGTCTCGAAAACCTAGTGAAAAAAAGAAGCAACTATGCCTCCACGGCACGCGATCATTGTTGCTGGTGTTCTGTTATAAAATGCCTTATCTCTCTCCATTTCTTTTGTTCACTCTCACCTTTAGGCGCATATTCTCTCCAAGTCTCATGCCGGCTGTACGATCACGCTACTCCAATGTCCACACTGCCTTTTTTCGTCTGATTCTGCTGCTGCCCCTCTGACGCCCAATCATGTCACCTCCTTATTCTTCTGCAGATGTTAGTTGTTCAACCCTCCAGATTGTTTACGGTAGCCGACTTGTCGACGGCGGGCTGTCCCTGCACTCCGAGGACCATGGCGTCGACGCTTTATCGGTCGGACATCTCTGATTCAGATCCGTCGTTAAATGCAGGATGCAAGTACGGTGTCTATACTCAGTCATTCGAGCTCTGTCACATCGTCTTTGCAAGCGGATGCTCGATCACTTGGCCTGTACACTTGGGTGGGCCTGCTTTCTGTGATGAAACAAATGCCTTTTAAAGTGACCAGTACCAGATGATAGCGTCAATTGTATTCTCCATTAACTTCGTCCGGGGATGGGAGTGCTTGTTCACATGCACTCAACGGCCCTCGCAACATTTTCACAAATCTAGACGTCTCCTTGAATAGCCATTTTTATTTATGAGGAACCTGATGATCAGTGTGTTTACTTATGCGAGTCAGTTATTCTTTCCAAGCACAAATCGTAGTGCTGCACAACAATCTCATTCCTCCCATTGCAAATAATTTCCTATTTTATTATCTTATTGCAAACCAAGCTCCCCTGATTCTTCTTACCAACATATTATAGTGCCTTTGTCGAATGAGCCGGAACGATTAGGTCTTGCTCGAGATTACTATTTTGCTTTGTTTTTTTACTAACTTTTTGTCTTCATCAAATGTGATGATTTCCTTTTTTTATACGCGACAAGTGCTAGCACTGACTGAAGAATTTTGTGAGAACCTTTAGCGAAAACACTTTGGATAAGTGGTAGAGCGGAATAAATGGTTTGTGGCGGGCATAAATGATTTGAGGAATACGAAATAACGAAAATAAGAAGGAAGACCCTGTTTCAGCATCTTGGTTGTGGTTTCAAGGATACCTTGAGGAACGTGCCACGTACTGCTCCCCAGTCAGAGTAGTCGTGATTACTTCCAGCTTGGGTATTTAGAAAAAACTGGTCTTCGAAGAATCCCTTAATAAATAAATGTTGGAGTACCTTTCATTTCGTTTGAAGAGACCAGTGGAAGGGATTCGTATGTTAACCTCACCGGAAGCTGTAAGGAGATTGCCTTGGAGCTGTGATAAGATTTGTGTGAATGGATCCTCGGCGCATCGCACTGCTACTCCCCTGAATCCTTGCTGAGTTTTTCCGTCATGTGACGGATATCGTCAGAAAAGGACACTATGCTTTACGATAATTCACCAATCACAAAGGCAAGAAGAGTGGCCGTCTGTAATGCTACCTACTTTTTATAGGTTTGGTATGTCCACTTAGTGAGACATCTTATTATTTGATTGGAGATCCTATGTTTTTTCTACATGCTGTTGAAAGTAAAGTGTGTAGGAAAAGCATAGGATATCCAACCAAATCATGAGATATCTCACTAAGTTTTAGGCAAGGAACTCTTACGACTTTATAAAGTTGTAGATAGGAAGAATAACTGGACTCCGATGAGTCTCCTCAGATTGCATCGTTTGGGTTGAACTTCATTTCTTGTGTAATATTCGTAGGTTGGTCTCATCAGAAGACTACGGCAGTTTAACTTTAATACGACCTTCAGGTTGACGCAGTTCACGAGATATCTCCCCTAGCTTTGGATGAAAATGGGCTGAGCTTTTGTGCGTCATGTGATACACATAATCAGAGCTGCAACTCATTTTTGTAAGTCTCACTTTGACACCAGGTCATAAAGGCTGTCCGGCTCCATCTTCTTATATGTACTGATGATTAAAAACGAAAATGAACAGGCATAGATATAGAATGGTTTAGCTAATTATCTTTTATACTAGTCCTGCTACTTTTGCCATAATGTCTGTCTGTTAACGTCTATACGCAATAACGGTCCTAAATCAGTGATCGAAAAGGCTAATGTCAGGCTCTAGTCATCAGGACTTAATGAGCCAAGAAAAGCTCTGACCGAGAGTGCATAGGTCCGCAACCAAGTATCGCTGAGATAATGATATGTAATCTTGTAAGTGTGTAAGTCAAATTACGAAACTACGTGTCCCAACCTTTCAGTTTAGGATCATTACGATTTAACCACCCAAAGAAAGGCATTACTGGGGCTATGTAATCTGGTACGTCTGGTTTAATGGATGGGCTCAATATAACATGTTGGACGAGTGAGTAAAACGATCAGCGAGTAGATAAGTTGAGTCGCCTTCTCTTGGATGGCGGCTCAACCCCTTCTCTCGTTCAACATAGCAATCAGACATAAAGAGTTCTTACTGGGTACCCATTCCCATGGAAATGTTAACATCCGCTGGTCCTATGCTAGAAATCACGAATACTCTGGCAGAGGACACGGGACTAGATACATTACACAAGATCTCCACGACGCTCCGACCAAGCTGAGAAAACAAGGTCGAACCAACACTATAAAGCTAAAAGAGACTGCGACCAAATAGGTGGCACCATCTTAGCCTTCATATCTGCGATTCAATCTAACCAGGTAAACAAGTGTGAATGAAGTCTGAACCATCATTGAGCAGACGAGTTGAGTCGCCTTTTGGTTGGTGGCCTAACACATCTTCATTTTTCACTAAAGTAGTAGTTCTTACTCAACCTATTCCTTAATCTATTAATGTGAAAGCTCCTCTTATCTCTCTTTTAACAGTAGACATAATATATTCAGTAAGCCCATTCGCTTACGACCTTTCTATCTAGTCCAGTCTCCGGCCTGCGTGTATTGCCACTTCAGACAATTGGACCCAACTGCCTTCACAAGCAGTTTGTGTTTTCCTAACCTTTGTCGAATATGCCGACACGTCTAACCAACATAAGATCGACCACAGAACACAACCTTCTATCAGCCAGATCGCGATAATGTGCCATATTCCCCCCTACGAAAGCTCATAGCCGAAGAAAGTTAGGGTTTCTTTTATCTTCCACTTTCTGACTAGTTTACATACCTTCTTACAATGAATGAATGACGGCAAAATTAAGATGTGGGAAAAGGTCTCGGCTTGTTTATCTGAGACTAAATAGTTACCATCTTGAAACTTAATCCTCAATAAAGAGATATTGTTTGGAATAAGGCCCAAAAGACACCTATTTTCAGCCGTTCCAACTCTTTAGTCGAATGGTTGCTATCTGCTAGTCATATAATCCTAATATTCGTTGCCTTAAGAATTCCAACCCTAACTTTGCGACAATAGCTGAAAAGAAAATTAAGAAAAGAGCCAACATATGTTGGCTTCTTATAAACATATTTTCCCAGTTTGCCCTGTTTCCTAATAATCAGAACATCCAAAAAGAGAAAGGACCCATCTCATTATATTTCCATTGTGGACTTAATGTTCCTTACAAATTAGTTAAGGAAACTATCTAAGCTTTCCTTACCATTAGGCCAGATGATAAAATAGTCACCCAAATGTAAACCAACAATTCATGGGTTAATATTGTTTATTTAAAAGTTCCTTAATTTTAGCCATATATTTGTTCGCCAAGATGAAAGTTAAACAAGATCCCGCCATAAGTCCATGTCTGTTCACAAAACTTACTCTCATACGTAAAATAGCTGATAGTCACGGATAAGTTAAGAAGTCTAATGGTGGAGGCTAAGTTTAGCCTTATTCCTTCTATTATCTCTGGATGCTCATCCAAAGTTTGTGCTGGAGCCTAAATGGCTCATTGAATTGGAATGTTTATGTACATATACACATCAAAACTTATTGGCTTATCGTCTTCTGAGGTTATTCGATGATCACTTAATTTTACCTACTCATGCAGATTTTAAACTGAATATGGCCAACAATTAGCAGTTTTTCCTAGTTACATGAATAAAAAAGGTGAGATTATGCGTCACGCTCCATTTATTATTTGCAATTAATATAAGAGGGACACCCTCCTTATGAACCTTAGGGAGACCCTTGCATCTCATTTTCCACTTCTCCATTTCACCATTACTTACGCGTACATTCAAGGCATCCCCTGCCTAGTCTAAAGTCTTTCTGTTGGATCTCTTATTAAAGGCGTGTTAGTTTCATTTAAAGGAACCAGCATTTTTTCTATAAAACTTGACCTAGCCGTGATTGCCACTGCTTCACCTTTGTCGGCTTTCATAATGATTAAATTATTGGCACAAATATCAACAAAACCTGCTGATAATACAAGCTTACTTAGGCGGGATTATCTGGACAAAATGAGACCACCTCCAGCTCAATTACGTATTCTTTACCGCAGGCAATCTACCAGTTAGTGTTAGTTCGATCTCGTTTTCGCAGCTTGGTCGGAGCCTCAGAGCAACCTTGTGGAAGCTACTTAGTCCTCTGCCATAATACTCGTGATTTCCAGAATCGGACCAGTGACGTGGTACATTCCCAAACTTTTCTCCGGCATTATCCGTGATTGATGCCAACAATCTATCAGTTAACCTAATTAATTCAACAAGTATGTCCAGAGATTGGTTTACCTCATTTGGATGAGCAAAAAGCAATCCTTCCAAAGTTAAACTGGATAAATGGGCAACCTTATCCTTTGTCAGTTTGTCAAAAACATGGCTACTACGACTTAGACGCATAATTTATCTACCATATTATAATTCATGAATTCCGGAGCTCCTTATCATTTATCTACCGAGTCATTCTATCACTGGCCTTTCCTAGCCCGTCAGCCATATCTTGTGGCTTAAGAAAATCTGAATCAACCAGTACTTCAGAAAATGATTGTCTAAGCCTCGTTTTGGTTATAAATAGTTCGAGTAGTCTGTTGATGCTTTCCTTGAGCTTTGTTTTAACCACACGATACCTAATCAAGTTCCCTAACAGTGGACTTTGACAGATTAAAGCGTCTACCGGGTAAACAACACCTAACGAAAACTTTATGGCAAATACAAATTTTAAAAATCTAATTATATTAACTTGTCGGCCGTAACTTTCTTGGTTGTAGTGTAGCGAGAAGACAATTGACAAAAAGTTGAACATTATATGCAATGTAGATACAGAGTAAATGGGTTTCGACGAATCTCCTGAGATAACGCTGTTGAAAGCTCACGAAGAGCCTGACATTAGCCTTTTTAATAACTTAGCTTTATGACCGGTATTGCGTAAGGCACATACACTCAAGCAAAAGTATTAGGATTAATATGAAGGATAATTAGCCAAACCATTCACGGATGTAAATTAGGCAGGCCACGAGCGAGCAGTTACCGAAAAGGAATATAGATAAAGGCACACACATTCACAGACAGACATGTCTCTAATTTTATGAGTTGAGCTAACGAAATTAACTATATGTCTTATTGAAATGCATTTGTTATATAGAAATAAGCTGGTG